CAATGATGGTGCCAACTTGGGCCAGTGAAGCAACGTCCTCCACAACTAGACTGAAGAACAAAAGGACAGCAACTTGTCTGTTCCCCTTCCCCCCAATTCCCCAGCACTGTTCCCATCCCCCCAATTTCCCAATGAAAATCTTTAAAAAAAAAAAATTATATACTAAGAAATGTCAAGACCATAAATACAACCCCTCCTCGGGATCCCTTCTGGACTGAAGGTGTGAGGAAGCTTGGGGCCTATTTAAGGTCCATATCCACTTGGAACCAACCCCTTCCCCATTTTACAGACTGATCAACAGAGGCCAGAGGATAAAAAGGATTTAGCCAACGCTCTAGGGGTTATCGGCTGGGATTTCCTGAGTCCCAGCTCAGTCTTCTGACCACTAGGGGTGTTAGCCTAGGGCCCAAGGACCTACTGGGGGGCTGCAGTCACCCATGATCGGTTTAGGAAACTTCCAAACTTATACATGACTTTTCTCTGTGTAATTCACTGCTGTTTCCTCAGTTCCTAGAACAGTGTCTGGCACACAGTAGGTGCTCAATAAATATTTATTGAATAAATGGGAATGAACATTTGGAGGGGTAATGTACAGGCTTCCATCTGATTCGCTGAGGTGACTGTGTTAAAAATATCCGGCCCCCTACATCTCCATCCCAGTAACTTTATGGCAGTGAGACAGGATGGGAAAATTACTAGGGCCCCCAAATCCCAGGCCCCCCCTCTTCCACTCCCCCCGAACACCAAAGCCCCAACTTCCTGCATCTCAGTAATCCCCCTCCTGCGTTTTCTTCATTAAGCTGATTTTTTTCTCATTCCTCTCCTCCCTCCTCTTCCTTTCTCTGAGAAAGGTTTCCAGGAACCTCTTCTGGGAACATCTGGGGCAAGGGTGTGTGTGTGTGTGTGTGTGTGTGTGTGTGTGTGTGTGTGTGTGTATAGGAGGATTGTCACATCTCATCAGGAGCTTGGAGCCTGATGGAGCAAGGGGAGAAAGGGAGGGAGGTGACCTACCAGAAGGGGCGAGGCTTGTCCAGATCTGGGTGCTTCCTCCCATTCTCTAGCCTGGCTATAGATGGAGGACCATTCCTGGTGACTCCTGAGGGCCGGGGGAGGGAGGAGTCACCAGCCAGGGCAAGCAGCCTTGGCCACTCTGGGGCGTGGGAACAGAGGCAGAGACAGGGAAGAGAGAGGGAGTCCAGGATGGCCCCAGGCTGACTCACCGGCTGTGCAACCCTGGGCTAGTCTCTCAGCCTCTCCAGTGACCGCCCTGGAATAGGGCCTGGGACCATTCCCAGAGGTCCTTCCAGCTCAGGCTCCCAGTCAACCTTTTCCCAAGATGGGCAAGAGACTAGTGCTACACAATCCCACAGGCCCTTGTGCTTCTTCCATCATTGTATTCCTTCAAAATAAATCCCAAAACTGACCACTGCTCCTGCTTATTCCACCACCCACCCTGGTCCAGTCACCAGCATCTCCCACCTGGACCACTGCAGTTACCGCTTCACTGGGCTCCCAGCTTCTGGCCTAACTTCCCCTATCCTGTTCCCCACTCAGCAGCCAGCAGAATCCTGTTTACATTTAAGTCAAATCACATCCCTCCTCTTGAGGCTCCTGGGTCTCTCAGACTAAAATGCAAAGTTCTTACCAGGACTTAAGAAGCCCCAAAAGATGGGCCTCTGTCCCCTTGCCAGTCTCACCTCCCATTCCTGTCTCCTTCCCTCTGTTCCAACCACACGGCTATACTTGCTGTGCCTCAAAATTCAGGCACTCTCTTACTCCAGGGCTTTGCACTTACTGTTCCCTCTGCATGTGATGCTCTTCCCTCTGACAGCCACAGGGCTGACCCCCTCCCTTCCTTCAGGTCTTTGCTCAAATGCCACCTTCTCGGTGAGCCCTCCCCTGACCTCATCTAGATCAGACTCCATGTCACTCTCTGTCCCTTCAATTGGCTTTATTTTTCCCCATTACACTTATTCATTCCAAATATATTCATTTTTATTTACTCATTTACTGTGAGCCCCATGAGAGTGGGGCCTGGCCTGTCTTGGTCACCATTGTGTCTCCAGGCCAGCACAGGACAGACTGTACGAACAAATCTTAACTGAATGAATGAATAAATATCCTTCCTCTTGTCTTAAGACCCCTTCCCTAGCCTGCCCTGCTTACCCCTCCTCCAGCCAGTCTGCCTTGATTGCCCTTCACTTGGGTTCTGACATTTTCCCTCTTCTTCCTCATTTCCTAAGAGCAAAAGCGATCACTCCACACTCCTTCCATTCTCCTCTTGAGTCACCAACTTTTACCCCCGTGTTGGAAATAATCCTAACCTCTTTCTTGTTTTGTCTTTACCTTCTAGAAACTTAATTTACTGGTCCCCGCCTCCAGGAAGTCCTCCCTGACCCCCAGTGGGTCAGATGCCCTCTTGGATTCCCCTAGACCCTGATTTCCACTGCCTGAGCACTGGTCATTCTAAGTCATCACTGTCCATTGGAGTGGGAGCCCATGAAGGCAGAGCCAGGTCTGTCATTCATCACCACTGTGTCATTAGCACTGCCCCAGCACAGGGCTAGGAACAGTTCAACTGAACTGTTAGGAGGATGATGGTTGACTAATGACACACCAACCTCACTGCTTTCCTGTGAATAGTAACACCGCCTTATTTACATATAATTTGCATACACTGGACCAGGAGGGAAGGGAGTGTGGGATGAGACTTGAGGAGTAGGGGCTCCACAATTTGAGATTCACTGTGCCGGTGGCAGCATCTTCAGCTGCACTTGGTCCACCTGGGAGGAGGGGGCTGCCACGCAGCTGGCTGCCATGGCCTTAACCGTGCTGTTCCTCTTGGAAGTGAGTGGTGTCTCCAAGGTGAGCGAGGCATTGGCCATTTCCTGGGGCTTGTCACTGGCTAAGAAGCGGAGCAGGTTGTGTAGGGCCTTGGCTACGTCACTGCGAGCGCCCTCGTTGACGAGGCAGTAGAGGATGGGGTCAGCCACACAGTTGAGGCTGGTGAAGGCCAGCGAGCTGTGGTACGCTGAGAAGACACGCTCTTCGAAACCACAGTCCCAGGGGCGGCCCAGGTAGACCGCACTGCGGGAAAGCAGGAGCACGTGGTAGGGCGCAAAGCAGACCAGCACAATGGCAATGAGGCTGAGGGCCAGCCGCTTGATCTTGGCTTTCTCCTGGCGCTCAGTGGACACGCTACCCCGCACCGCCCGCAGGATGCCACGGTAAGACAGCAGCATGAGGGCCCACGGAAACAGAAAGCCCACGAAGACTCGGTACAGATTCATCCAGGCCACCCAGCCCTCCATGGGAAACTTCTCAAAGCAGAAGGTGTGGTTGTAGCGGTCGCGGAAGAGCTCATCATGGAAGAGGGGTGCCGAGTTGGCGCCCAGCTCCGTGGCCCAGACCACGGAGCTCACTGCCACCGCCGTCTTGACACGGCGCAGGCGGGCAAACCGCAGCGGGTGGGCCACGGCCAGGTAGCGGTCCACCGAGATGCAGCACAGGAAGGCGATGCTGATGTAGATATTGGTGTAGAAGATGAACCCGAAGAGCTTGCAGGAGCTGGGGCCGTGGATCCAGTTGTCGTGGTGAAGGAAGTAGTCGACCCACAACGGCAGCGTGCAGATGTACAGCAGGTCCGCGATGCTGAGGTTCATCAGGTACACGCCCAGCTCGTTGCGTTGCCGCACTTGGCGGTAGGCGGCCCACAGGGCCAGGCAGTTGGTGGGCAGCCCTACACCAATGACGAAGATGTAGAGGGACGGCGGAAAAAGGTGATCCACGCGTGAGTCCACGTGGCAGCCTTCCCATGTGCGGTTGCCCATTCTCAGCAGTGGGGCTTTCAGGTGCTTCCCCCGGCCCACGGGGGCTATGGGGCCAGGAGGGGCGGGAGGCCATTGGGCTCCCTGAGCCCCCTTCTTGGAGGCTCAGGGGCACATGGTGGGCGGCAGTCCACGAGGAAGAGATGAGATTGGCTGTGAATCCTGGGCCAGGCTGGGCAGGAAAGAGTGGAGCTTGAGAGAGAAAAGTTAGAGGAAGGCTAGAATTACAACAGGAGGGAGGTTTTGGGGATGGTGAGATTAACAAAGAGCTTTGTCAAGGGGGTGTGTATAGACTCAATCAGAGTGTAAATGAGGGAGTACTGGGATATCACAAAAATTGGCTGAGGGGAGTGTTTCTGGAGGGGATGAAGGCACAAGTGGGCAGTGGTGAGAGGAAGATATCTGTACAGAATGGAGGAAGTAAGTGTGGCTATGCTGGAGTAATGGTAGGATGGAATATACTAGAAGACACAGGCCATATAGAGGATAGTGTTGAGATAGGACAAACTACAGTTAGGGCATGTTGAAAAGACCCGGTAATGTGGATGGAGGTGCTGGCATTTCCTAGGACCCCAGTAAGAAAGGACAAAATAAAGTAACCACCGAGGAGATGACGGAAAAGGAGGTGTCCTGGGTGGGGGGGGGTGGACAGAGAGGAAGGGTTCAGTCTGGAGAATGTGGGAAGGGTTTTTAGGAAACAGGAAGGAGGTGAGTAAGGGCTAGGTCAGAGGAAGATTGTAGATGGAGGAGGGATTTGAAGGGGGCAGGGGAGGGGCTCCGGCGTGGTCCTCCTAGGGGCTGAGCAGTTGAGATTAGATGGCCCCACCTCAGATTTCAAAGCTGACTTTGCAGTGCCTGTTGGGAGAAAGGATTGCAGTGAGGGGAGTCATGGACTGACCCCTTTTTCCCATACCCCTTGCCATCTCCTATAGGCTGCAGAGGGTGGACACCCCGACGGTGCCTAATTGAGCCTCATTTTGGACAATAGATCCCTGAAAACACAGCTTTGAGGTGTCAGATATATTTTTGGCTAATCGATGTTAAAATAAAGACCCATCTCAGATTTTAAAACTTTTTTCCAGAAACCATGTAAAACTGGCATAAGAATTGTATCATGCTTTGGGAAATGCTGGTCTAGGTTAATGCTATCCTTTCACAGACAGGGAGAAGGGGCCCAGAGAGGCTGGGCCACTCCCCTCAAGGACGAGCAAGAGGGCAGTGACGGAACCGGAACTGGGGCTGGGACTAGCTTCCTGCTCCTAACCCAGGGCACCCCATTCTTAACAATGATGATAACAATGGTGATAATAACAGCTAAAGTTTATGAGTCCTACTAATATCAGACCCTGTTCTAAGCACTTTTATGAGCATTAATTCATTAAAAGTTATAGAACCCCATGAGGAAAGTACTGTTTATTCCCCGTTTGACAAACTGAGGCACAGAGCCATTCAGAGACCTGTCCAAGGTCCTGATGATGGGAGAGGGGGAAATCTCAACTCTAGCCCCCTTTGCTCCAGCCTGTGCTTCTGTTTCAACCCAAGAATAACTGGACAGAAAGAGGTCTTGGGCTGACAGTGGGGGCTGAGAACCATAGCTGCAGAGGGCTGGGGGGAAGGGATGAGAGGAAGGGCTGCTGGACTCCATCAAGGTGGGGGAGCAAGGACCAGCACTGGCAGTCCCCTCCCTCAGGGACCACTCCCTTTACCTCTTCCCACTCCCCTCTGACTTTTCCAAGTGAGAACCCTAGGCTTGTCACCACCTTGGTCCTGGGAAGACCTGCAAGCACAGGGCAAAAGATAGTCATGGAGGAAGACCTTGACCATCATGAGCCTCAGAGAGAAAGGGAGCAAAGTCCTGAATCAGAGGCATCTTCGGAAGCCACTATATCCAGGGGCTTGCACAGGCTTAATTGTATGAGTTGAAAAAAAAAATCTTAACTGGAAATCCTATCTAAGACAATAAAAGAGGGAAGCTTCTCTGTACTCTAGATGAAATAATGGGGGGGCACCTCTGAAGAATCCCCAGAACACATTTTGAAAACCACTAGTTGCAGGTGGGAGAGGGATTCGGGGGTGAAAAAAGTGAAGGGATTAAGCAGTACAAATTGGCAGTTACAAAATAATCATGGGGATGTAAAGTACAGCATAGTCAATAATGTAAAAACCATATATAGTGCCAGGTGGGTGCTAGACTAATCAAGGGGATCACTTCGTGAATTGTATAGATGTCTAGCCACGATGCTGTACACCTGAAACTAATATAAAATATAAAATAATATTGAATGTCAACTGTAATTGAAAAATGAAAAGAAAAAAAGAAAACCACTGGTTGAGTCAGTTGTACAGATGAGGAAACTGAGGCCCAGAGAGGGCAAGGGATAAGCTCAAAGTCACACAGCAGTTCCTTGGAAACCTCCCAGATGCCTGAGCATCCTTCCATAGGAAAGTCCTCTTGGCTCTAGCTACCTCTACAATAAATCCCGAATCCATGCATGACCCTCTGAAGCACCCCCACACTGCCTGCTCTGTGCCACCATCACCAGTCACTTGCTTGGACCCTTACAGCGGTCTTCTTACTGCTTTCTTGGTTGCCATTCTGACATCCTTCACCTCATTTCCCACACTGCAGCCAGAAAGTTCTTTCCAACATGGAAATCAGCTCTGGTTACTTCTCTGCTTGAAACCCTCCAATGACTTCCCAATGGACTTGGGGGTAAAATCCCAACTCCTTGCCCCAGGTGACAAGGCGCTACCTGACTTTCTTCCCCACCGCCCCTCCCCTGCCTCGGTGGGCTCAAGGCCAATAATGACCTTTCCAGCCTCAAAGCCTGTGTCCTTACTGTACCCTCCGCCTGGAATGCGCTTGCTTCAGATCTTAGGACTAGCTGCCTTCCCTCCTTCACTTCCTCAGGGAGGCCCTCCCTACCCGGAGTCCCACCCACTCTCCAGGACGCTCTCCTCACATCACCTAGTATCTTGTGTTTGTCTGTCCGTCTAGAGTGGACATTCCAGGACATCAGGGACCTTGTGTTGACTGCTGTATCCCTGGCATACAGTAGGTGCTCAGCAGACTGTGAACTGAAGAAACTCACATTAGTCAGCCCATCCCCCAATGTAGGCTCCCTCTCCCCCCGTGGCAGCAAGCACCCCCCCCCAACATCCCCCCACTTCAGGCTCAAGCAAGTCCCTGCTGGGTCCCAGAGAAAGGGAGGTGGGGAGTGGAAAGGGCAGGATGTAGCCCATACATAATTGACTCTGAAAGGTCAGGACTGAGTCCTGCTAGGTAAGTCCTACCCCCTGTGGGGTCCTGGACACAGAGTTCCCGCCCTCACCCCAGACTCACAAAGGCTCCTAGATCCTGTGGACATGGGATGGAGGGGACTTGCTCTTGGCTGAAATAGCACAATCCAGCCCCTCCCTTCAAATCAGAACACCCCCAGGACCATCACCCAGACCAAGTCACTCAAAACACCTCTCAACCCTCAGCCCTCTCTGTCGCGCCCACTTTTGTAACATTGAGGGAATTACTTCTCTTTCAAAAGCCTCCGTTTCCTTTTCTTACAAAGGGGGGGGGGCGCACAATTTTTATACTAGTCGTGTCACAGATATGAAAATCCTTGGTGACATCATCTATAAATTATGCAGTATTTGAACAATTATTATTCCACAGGCACTGGAGAGCTGAAAGTAGAAACCAGTTGGTAGTGGGAGGAGCCCCCCAGAGCTGGGATTTCCCTTAGCCCCACCCCTTGGAGACCCCCTGGGTTCAGCTGAGGCTGCAGCCGGCATACAGGCTGGAGACTAATTTCTGGCAGCCAGAGGAAATACACTTCCCATTGTTAACTTCCTCAAGGGGGGAACCAGCTGGATACTCACCCCTCCCTCCTCCCATCCCACCTCCTCAACCCACCTGCTTCTTGGGGGTGCTGGGAATGGGGGAGGGACACTCAAACAACCCTCTCTTCTCCTTCACCTGAGATCTGCCCATCATCAAACCCTCAAAAGATAGCACAGGAATGTCAGACTCTTAGAATTCCACAATGCAGCAAGTCTGTATGCGACACCTGGCGGGTTAGAGGCTATTTCTGACCCCTTCCTGGTACAGATAGGGAAACTGAGGCCCAGAGGGGCAAGACAGTTATCTAAGTCACATGATATGCCAAGACTGGGCAGATCTGTTGCTCTTAACTGAAGAGCTTCCCTTCCCTGAAGGTCTCTCCTCTCCACATTTCCTAAACTCCTGTGATTTTCCTCAAGTCTGTCTGGGGTTCCCAGACCCTCTGCAGAATCTGCTGGAAGATACACGGACTTTCTCACCATGAAAAAGCAAGTGACTGTTGTGTCTTGGGCGTCCCTCCATCACCTGACTCCCTTCCACCCCCAGTGTCAAGACCCTCTTCAGTTGGGTTCTAAGTTGCCTCCCTTACTCAGGCTTTGTTGGGGACTCGACCCCCAAATCTCATAGACCCCACAAGAAGCTACCTCTGTTCTCCCTCTTTGGTCCCTGCTGGCTCCTCCCCAGAGGGACAGGGAAGAGAGATAAGCCTGAGTATGGAGCAATAGTCGATAGTTGATAGTCGGGAACAAGAAGCACTGGTCAGACCCCAGCCCCCACTTTACATCTCAGCTGCTCAGGCCAGATAAGTCCCTAGGTCTGCCAGCCACCCCTAAATCCAGTAAGGCTAAAGGACTGGGGATTGAGAGGACAAGAGGGAGAAGTGGTGTAGCCCCCACATCCCCACCACCCCTCAGCTTACTCACCAGCCTTGTCCTAGAAGCCACCAGGCCGCCTCTCCCCACTTCCCTCCTCTGTGGGCTCTGGCTTTCCCCCCTCCCCTGGTAGCCCCAGGGGACCGGCCAGCTCCGGTCTGCTCATTAGGGGACGAAATGTGATCACCAAGCCTCGCTCCCCACCTGGTGCTCTGGCGACAGGCGGAAACCAGGGGGCAGTCAGGCCACCTTGACCGCCCTGCTGGGCCTCAGTCTCCCCTTTTCTACCAAAGGAGTCCCCGTCTTCCTCAAAGCCCACACTGCCAGTAAGGGACACCAGGGTCCTCTGACTCTATTCCTCTGATGTTCTAGATTCCAACATTCTCAAATCCTCGGGTTCTATTGTTAGTCCAGTTCATGGTTTACCGTTCTATTATTGTAACATTCTAGAGCTTTACTTTTTTCCATTCTATTATTATTATCATCATGGCTTTCCATGCCCTTACCCAATATTCCAGGAGGCTCACATTCCAAGATTTGAAAGTTCTATTGTTAGAATGCTCTATGATTTTTTTCAACATTCTAGACTTTCATAATCTATTATTAAACTATGCGATTATTATCTTTGCCAAGCACAAACATGAACACGTATTTCCCTATTTTTACAGAAATGGGAACATACTCTATGTATGGTGAGCGCTACTTTCTTTTTCCCTTTTATCTATTCTATTTTTTAACATTCCTGCTGCCTGAAGTTCTAAGATTATACAGAATTCTGAGACACTAAGGAATCACAGGGTGGGGGGTTAGTCACCACCTTCATCTAGCCCCTAAATTCTCACCACCTGGTGGTGGGGGGGAACCTTAGGAGCCCAGGCTGACTCCCTATCCCTTGCCCAGAGGGCCTGGCCTCATCCTTCCCCGCTGGTTCACACCAGCTGAGTTATTATTTGTCTAGACACAAACCAAATTATAGGCCCTGTCCCGCGGGAGCAGTGGGCTTCATGGGGAGGGTCAGGAGACAGAGGCAGGCGGGAGTTAATCCCTGCCCCCACCCCAACTTCCCCTCCTCTCTCCCCTCCTTCCCTGAAACTCCTCACCTTCCACCCAAACAAACTCTTGTCCCCTCTCCCTACAACCATGGTTTTAGAAATATTTTCTCTGCTTCTAAAACGCTCCCTTCTTGATTCCAGCCATTCACACTCACCTTGGCATTCTTCCCTCCTCCCTGTGAAGACCTCCTTCTCCAAATTAATGCGACTTAGTGGCAGCAAAAGAAGCCAGATCGCTGGATTTTCCGTGGAACTAGAGCCCCAACCCCCAGCCTGGCACTAACTCACCGCGGGGACTTCTGCTCTTGGGCCTTAATTTCCCCATCTGTAAAGTGGGTGCTTGGCCTAGATGGCTCCAAAAGCCCTTTAGAGCTCACAGCTGCGAATGCTGAAAACTGCCAAGATTCCAGCGCTAATCTTTTTGGATTGAAGGATTCAAATACCCTGAGGACCTTTGATTTGAAGGTTGGAGCATTCCCAGGCCTCCCCTCCTATCATTCTCACATTCTGGGTCCTTCCATTCAAAGACTTCACATTC